CGTGTGTATTGGCCCTTGTGTTTAAAGGTAAAGGTTCCCTTGCTCGAAAGCCAGTCGAATCCGACTCTAGGGGTGCGGTGCTCATCTCTGTTTCAAAGCCGAAGAGCCAGCGCTGTCCAAAGACGTTTCCGTGGTCATGTGGCCGGCATGACTAAACACCAAGGCGCACGGAACGCTGTTCCCTTCCCACCGAAGTGGTACCTATTTATCTACTTGCCATTTCTTGCTTTCGAACTGCTAGGTTGGCAGGAGCTGGAATTAGAGACGGGAGCTCACTCCGTCATGCGGCAACTCGGGTCTCGAACTGCTGAACTACCGGCCTTCCACAGCCTGCAGTTCAGCATCTTAACCACTTGAGCCACCGCATTTTTTTTACGAGGCTTTCATTGGGCCCTTATGTATGTTTAGCTGTCTTTCTAGTAAATACTTGCATTTTTGTATATTATAAGTTTTAACTAGGTTTTTAATATTGGCCCTTCATTAGACTTTCTTCTCACCCTTTTGGTTTCTTGATTCCAGTTTTTGGGTCAGGTTTGTTTTCCTCTCCCTGTGTCTTACGAACAAGTACCGAGACAGCTTTTGATGAAGCCCATCACACGAAGCTGCCTTATGCTAGACCTCTGGCCCATCGAGGTATTGTTTACTCACCATCTCAGATTGGCAGCAGCTCTCCAGGATCTCAGGCGGAGGTCTTTCCCATCACCTACTACCTGCTCCTTTCAACTGGAGATGCCGGGAATTGAACCTGGGGCCTCCTGCACACCAAGGCGGGCGCTCTACCACTGAGCCACAGTCCCCCAGCTTTCCCGGCAGTTACAGTGCAAATGTGCAGTAGCCAGAGCATCTCACTGTCTTGTCTGCAGGGCTAGTCTCTCCCTGTGCCGGCAGATCATTCTGTGGGACAAAATGTTGAAATATGCGCATCCTTACCTCTACCTAGAGCCTTATGGTTGTCATAGGAAGGTTTTTGCTAAGAGTGAACTTGTGCTGTAGACCTAGTTGCCCTTTGACATTTTTGTGCTAGTCACGAGTGGAGTGGTTTCTTGCCCAAACTTGGCAGGCAGCTGTTGCTGTGGCCCAGCAGAGTTCTCGGGGAAGCTGTCGGTGGAAGAACCAAACATGGGCTTACAGACCATAGCTCACGACGGCACATCTGTGGCATCTGCCATCCTGGCGCCAGGTGGTTGCTGGGGCATCTGTTTGCGGAGGTAACCCGCGAGGCGACGGCCGACCCTGCTGGTTTCTGTCTTCACAAAGAACAGTCAGGGGTAGAGGGAAGTTAATTCACAGCAGCTTCCCTTCAGTTTCCCCCAAAGAGTCTTATCTTCCTGTACTGTGCCAAACAATCTGCCTGTATGATTACTACAAACCATGCAGTTGATCTGATTTCTCACATTGTGTTGTATAGGGGTTGTGGTAAAAGTCTGAAAATTCTGTAGCATTTGCACTAAATGGTGGTTTTTGCATTTAAAATACCAGTGTGTCTTTTTCTTGGGTTACATTCCATAGGTTTGAATGTAGATTAAATTTTAGGCAGGTTGCCATCCATGCACGGTAGATGGAGAAGAGTTGGTTTTTATACCCCGCTTCTATCTACCCTGAGGTGTCCCTAAGTGGTTTACAGTCGCCTTTCCCTTCCTCTCCCCGTGACAGACACCCTGTGGGGTAGGTGGGGCTGAGAGAGTTGTGAGTGGCCCAAGGTCAGCCAGCAAACTTCATGCGGAGGAATGGGGAGTCACACCAGGTTCTCCAGATTAGAGTCCGCCACTCTTAACCGCCACACCATGCCGGCTCTCCATGAATGGGCATCTTCGGAAAAGGAGAGAAACTCTAAAACTAAAGCTAAAACAGCTTGGGTGCAGCATATTAGCAAGAACGTCTAACGTGGAGCTCCTTGACCTCTGGGATCTTGCAGGGTGGGGGTGGGGGTCCTCTGACCTGACAGGATCTGGAGATGGCCAAGAAGGGCTTTGTTGATAGTCACACTGCTCATTTCTAAGTAGGCAACATCAGCCTTTATTTTCATCTCACCATTTACTTCTGACATTCCCCCCCCCCTTTCCTGGAGATAGTGTCATTCTGTTACTGTGTTTCCCAGGGAGATTTGTCATCTTCTGAGATTTGTTTTTGTGCCGTCTCCTACATTACTCTGAGTATCTGTGGACAGGGAAGTGATTAATAAGCCTGGCTTGGAATTCACCGAGCCACTGCTGGGTTAGCGCAAATACTCCCTTGGCAATACAAAGGATTCCAGTAGCAGGCGGAGGACAAAAAAATGCTTTTGGTGAGACTCTGATCCCTTTTATTAACTTTAATTTGTAGACAGATAAAGCTCCTGTAAACAAAATTATCCTCTGCTGCTAGTCTTGATGTTGCCTGCTTCCACCAGCCGGTAATTAAAGGAAGGGAGATAAGCCCGGTTTGTCAGTCTCCTAAAGCTGATGCCACTGGGAGTCCGTTACAGGTTCCCTCTAAGGCAGCAGCAGTGTCTGACCCAAATCTGACAAACGACTAGTGGAAGGGCTCCGGTCAGGGGGGCTGGCTGGCCTGCAGCTGAGCCTGGAGATCTGATTCCAGAAGGGAAGTCCAATCCACCCAGAACGTGAGGCCGGACCCTGAATTTGCTGGATGCATCATGGGGGACGGCTGTTTTGCTTTTTGGCCTGCTGCCCGGTTACCACAAAATGACACCTCTCTGGGGTAGGCTGCCTGCCTGCCTCCCAGAAAGCTTCCTCCCCTACGTGGAGTGTTGAGGGAAAGGGCTTCCAGTGCTACGCAGTGCACCTCCGTCTCCTCTGTGCCTGGGCTCCCAGTGGGGGGTGGGGTCTTGTAGAGCTCACAAGCTCTCCAGGTCAGGCGTCTCCCTCTTCTTGCCCCGCAGTCTTGCGCCTTTGCTCCTGTAGCTCTGCCTCCTCCGGACCGGACTCCGCGTCAGGATCAGGCTCTAGGGGGAGGGAGGGGGGCTTTGCCTGCTGAGCGGAAACTCCTGTACCTGCAGAAGGAAAGTGAGCAAATATCCACTGAAGGGAGTGAAATATGGGTGGCCCTCCACAAGACCTTGAATGGTTACTCTGAAGCAAGCGGCTTTTAAAGCGCACCAGCAACTTCAGTTACAATGGGACATGGACACTGGGGTCCTCGACCTTTCTGAGCCTGCGGGCACCTTTGGAATCCAGACACAGCGGGGTGGGCACAGTCACAAAATGGCTGCTGTGGAAGTGGAGCGGATCACAAAACGGCTGCCACGGGTTACATTCTATCACACGATGAAAATCCCAGCCAATCATATCTCCAGCGTCCACTCAAAAGCCTTGCTGGGCAAAAGCCACACCTGGCGAGCCGCAGCAAAGAGCCTCACGCAGCGTGGTGTCCGTGGGCACCATGTTGGAGACCTCTGATTTAGATCATTTAAGGCTGGGTTTGTGACTGTCTGTCAGCTATTAGGATCTACCAAAGGGATCCTAAACCCTTAACTTAAGCACAACACTGTTCAGGCATCCAACTATAAAGCAAAACACCGCTTGACAAATCCTTTCTGGCTCTCTTCTCTAGCTTCTGTTGCTTCCCTGTATTTTCTGCCCACTGTTTCTTCCTGCTCTGACTCTTTTTCCCCCGTTCAGAGTTTTGCTTCCAGACCATTTCCTTTTTATCCTCTTTCTGCCGTTATCTCATCTCCCCCGCCCCATCACACTTCTTCCTCTATCTCAAGCTGTTACCACAGATCCTCCTTCCTCTCCCCTCCACTTTTGAAAAGGCCTAAAAGTGTGCTGTGACGCGGCAGTCCTCCCTGGCCTGAACTGATGATCAAAACTGGCTAAAAGTTCGACTTCACCTCTCATGTTGGCATGCCTCAAAGGAGACGGTACCTTTTGCGTGCCACAGATACAGTCTGGCTCCATTGAATGCAAGAAGTGGCGGTGGCTACAAGCACAGACAGCGTCAAGAGGGGACCAGAGAAACAAATGGAGCAGTGGCTATTAGCCACAAGGTCTGGGGCAGTGATGCTCTGTATTCTCGGTGCTTGGGGGGCAATAAAAGGAGGGCTTCTGGAGTTCTGGCCGTGCTGGTGGGCCTCCTGATGGCACCTGGGTTTTGGCCACTGTGTGACACACATGTAAGACTGGATGGGCCGCTGTCCATTATGTTCTCACGTTACTGGGCCAGGCCACAAGGAGATGTTAAAATGTTCTCACGTTACTGGGCCAGGCCACATGGAGAGCCACAAGGAGATGTTAAATAGTAAAAAGCCTCAGTAGCACCTTTAAGACTAACAAACTTTATTGTAGCATAAGCTTTCGAGAAACACAGCTCTCTTCGTCAGATCTATGACCATGGAAAGTAGCTGTTATGCTTTCCTCTAAAGTACTGCTGCATGGAAGACCTTTGCAGTATTTGGCACAAGTATTTCGACTCGGCTCTCGGTAAGCGCTCTAGAGGAGACGGTGTGAATACAAGTTCATAAAAGGATCCCACAGGGGCCTCAGATCCAGGGGTGGTGCTTTCAAAATCATTCGGTGCCCCATGCCTGGAACCAGACTGGGCATGGCTGAGGGCCTGGATGTCCTGGTGAGAAGCCCTCCCTTGCCTGGTGTGCATGCTTGTCCCCTGTTCTCCTGCCACCGGTAAGGCTGCTTATCCATTTATTCATCTGATTTATCAACCACGCTCCCCTAGAGACCGGGCTCAGGGCCCTGTACAACATGGTCATGACAACAGATAAAACAAGGAGAAGAGGAAGAGATTGGATTTACACCCCACCCTTCACTACCCAAAGGAGTCTCAGAGCGCCTTACAAACTCCTTTCCCTCCCCCTCCCCACAGCAGACACCCTGGGAGGTAGGTGGGGCTGAGAGAGCTCTTTCGAGGACTGCTCTTTCAAGGACAGCTCTTGTCAGACCTATGGCTTGCCCAAGGTCATCCAGCAGCTGCATGTGGAGGAGTGGGGAATCAAACCTGGTTCTCCCAGATTAGAGCCCGCACACTGAACCACTACACCAAACTGGCTTTTCTTACTGCTAACCCCAGGCTGAGAACACCAATCAGATGTTTTATTTCACTTATTTAATTCCTTTATACCCTGCTTTTCTCCCCAATGGGGACCCAAGGCAGCTAACATCATTCACCTCTTCTCCATTTTATCCTCACAACGACCCTTTGAGGTAGGTTAGGTGGAGCGTGACTGACCCTAGGTCACCTGGAGAGCTTCCATGGGGCAAATGGAGATTTGCACTTGGGTCTCCCAGAGATGAGTCCGGCACTCTTAACCACCACACCACACGGGCTCCGTGACAGCGAGAAAGGGGCTGTGCTGGATTGGTAGAGGTGGCACTATGAAGATCCAGCCCCCCACCCCAACCCCACCCCGTCCACAATGGGGCTTTCTAGAAGCGCTCCTTTATGCCGAGATGCCAGAGCCCAGCGTGGTGTTGTGGTGAAGAGCAGCAGACTCTAATCTGGAGAGCCGGGTTTAATTCCCCACTCCTCCACATGAAGCCTGATGGGTGACCTTCGGCCAGTCGCAGTTCCTCTTGGAGCTCTCTCAGCTCCACAAGCTGCCTGTTGTGGGCAGAGGAAGGCAAGGCGACTGTAAGCCATTCTGAGAGTCCTAAGGGAAGAGAAAAGCAGGGTACGGAAACCAATTCTAGACTGGGCTGCTAGGGCTGCTGCTGGAGGCTTCTCCACTTAATCTGTTCATTAAACTATCAACTCTCCATTTGAGGGGCTGCAGAAACAGGCACCAAAAGGTCCTCCATCCCCACAGGTGCGAGTGCCAGTCTTTTCAGCCACCGCCCTGCCATCTCCAGTGACCGGAATCCAGCCCTGGCATTCGGACAATGGGAGGGACAGGGGCGTGTCTGCACTAATGCCACCTTCTCAAACACAAGGGGGGGCAAGGAGTCGGGCGTACCTGGCGGGAACTGAATGGCCTTCCCGTACCCAGCTGCCGAAGACATGGCTTGTCCCAGAGCTTGGTTCGAGCCCAGGGGCTGTGCGCCGGGAGACTTGCTGGCCGAACTCCCTCGCTGCTTTGACTTGGGGTCTTTTGCAGGCTTGGTCCACACTGAGCTCTCTCCCAGCTGCAAGGAGGCCCCCAGCTTCTGGGCTATGTCCACCATCTGCGCATGTAAAAGAAAGGGGGGGGGGGGGGAAAGAGGCCGGGAAAGTCAGGTCGGGCCCCGCGGCAGGGCCTTGAACATCACATCCTCCTCTGAACCTGCTTCCACGAGATGCACGGGCAAGGCGGAAGGGGGTTGTCATCATCTCCGGGGAAGTGTCGCTGCCCCATGGAACGAGGATCCCGGAGAAAAGAGGGCTTCAACTGAGCATTCTGGCCTGATGCACAGACCGGTTTCACGGACGTGGTGAAGGAGGACCCTCCGCCGTGTGGCTCTCAAGTACAAAACGCACAGCAGCAGGGGCAAACATAGACCGGAGTCTTTCCGTGGGGCTCTCTCTCCCCCAGTGAGCTCAATGGTGCTTTCGGGAAGCATGGCTGATCTGGACTCTGCTCATCAACCCTTTTGCTGCGATAACCCACAAGTCTAAATTCACTTTGAACGCTGGCTCATCCTGGGCTGGCCAGCCTAAGGTTTTTGGGTGCCCTAGACAAACTGTGACCTTGGCTCCCATCAATTCCAGCGTTCCGTTTCCAGATGTTTTGAGAAACCAACGAACATCACACCAAGGGTGCAGCTGCCCCCGCTAGCACCCCAAGCAAGTGGGAGTTCATCTCTAGGCAAGGGAGTCACCATTAGGGACGGGTGGCCTGCGACCCACTTTCAGAGGCGTCATGACCCACTTCTGCATTAGCCCACAGGTAGTGAAGCACCGGGCTAACTCAAGACGTCCGCTTAGCCTCAACCGGGGCCTTCTCTGCCCTGGCCCCCGCCTGGTGGAACGCGCTCCCAATTGAGATCAGGGACCTGCGGGACTTGCTACAGTTCTGCAGAGCCTGCAAAACAGAGCTGTTCCACCCGGCCTTTGGTTGAGGTGGCAGATGTTTCCACCATCTCGGCCTCCCTTGCCCATTGTAGGCCTACAGATGCGTACTAGAGCAGGTAGAGAAAGATATACTTTTCTCCCTTTCTCACAATACAAGAACTCGTGGGGACTCAATGAAATTGCTGAGCGGTTGGGTTAGAACGGATAAAAGGAAGTACTTCTTCACCCAAAGAGGTGGAATTCACATGGAATTCACTGCCACAGGAGGTGGTGGCAGCTTCAAGCATGGACGGCTTCAAGAGGGATAAGCATATGGAGCAGAGGTCCATCAGTGGCTATTAGCCACAAGGAATCGATACGGACTCTGGGGCAAGTGATGCTCTACATTCTTGGTGCTTGGGAGGGCAACAGTTGGGAGGGCTTCTAATGTCCTGGCCCCACCGGTGAACCTCCTGATGGCACCTTGTATTTTTGGCCACTGTGTGACAGAGTGTTGGACTGGATGGGCCTTTGGCCTGATCCAACATTGGCTCCTCTTATGTTCTTATGTACTATCCTGCTAACATCTAACAGGGAGCGTATTGGGCTGCTCTGGAGTAATGTTATGTTCCTTAGCTGCCATCCTGTTTTATTTAACTAGTTTTAAAATTATATATTTGCTGTATTTTATTTCTGTTGTGAGATGCCCTGAGCCCACCACCATGGGATAGGGCAGGATATAAGTGAGAGAGACAGATAGACAGAATACCTCAGGGTCCAGCTCCATCGCGCTGCTCTCCTTTAACATGTTGACCTTGCCTGCCATCTCCTGGTACTGCAGGACAGCCTGTTTCTTCTCTCCCTGGTTGTACAGCAGAACAGCGTAATTCAGGTTTACCAGGGGGTTGTACCTGTGTCCCAAGAAAAAAACAGAAAGTGTGTGCGGGGGGGAGGGGATTAAAACACAATCGGTGCTGGTGGCCAAGTGCGGCGAACAGAACCATTTCAGCCTGCTGTCAAACACTGCACTGAGAAGCATAGTGGGGGAGGAACTTCATTCTCCCCCTGTTTCGCAACCAGAAGAACCAAATTCTGGATGTTCATCTCTAAGTGGAGCAATTCAGCAAGTTGCAAAAGCTGAAGAGTAGTTGGCTTTTTTTTAAAAAGGTCCAGTTCCTTGTCAGATCTCA